TTCCACCTGTAACACTGAAGTTAGCGAAAATGCAGTATTTTTCATTCTTATGTCCAGTATACGTCTTGAGACACTTCCCTCTGCTGTAGTCCCATAATTTCAGTGTGTTATCCAATGTAGCTGCTAAAATATACTTTCCATTCGGTGAGAACTTAACAAAAGAAACTGGTGGGTTGTCATCATCTATTAGTGTTTTCAAACATTGTCCTGATGCTGTATCCCAAATTCGACTGTAAACAAGAAGCATAATTATTACATCTTACTAATTTTAAATGCGAAAATTTAGATGCATGGATGGATGGATGTTTGTTAAAGTTTGTAGTCTAAATGGCTGAATGGATCTGGATGAAATTTGACATACATGTACAGAATGGTGTGGAAGAACATATAGGCTACAAACATTTGTTTTTTTTTAATAGGACGCGTACAAAGTCGCGGGCGAAAGCTAGTATGAAAATAATTTGTTCTTAATACTTAGTAATAGGAAATTACTTTAACACTTACCATAATCCATCATAACTGGAAGAAACAATAAGACTGCCATCTCTGTTGAAATGAACTGCTGAAACCGGATCCGAATGTGCTGGTAATGTCTTCAAACATTTTCCTGTAACAATATTAAGAGATCAGTTATTGTAAAAACTTTAGACAAAGTAACTTATAAAAAATCTAACTTTTTCTGATTTTTCGTTTTATTTTTCATTTATTTGGGTAAAACAACAATAGCACAAGAAAAAAATGATAAAGTACAATTCAGAAGTTTTGAGTAGATGTGCCATTTACAACTTTACCATGTAGTAGTAGTAATTTGACTTGGCTAGACTTTAAAAATTGTTCTTGTGCATACAATACCCAATTGAAAGGTCAAATATAGTTTTAATAACTTTTAAATAGGTGAATTACAGAATAGACGAATTTAATACACACCTGTTCTTACATCCCATATTCGGACACTTTCATCAAAACTTCCAGAAACGATCAAATTGCTTTGTGGATTGAAATTACAACAAAATACATAATTACTGTGTCCTTTCAGAGTTTTTAAACATTTGCCCGAACTGAGCTCCCAGACCTGTAACAAGAAGTAATTGTATTTTCGCATTTAATTGATAGAATGCACATTTAAAAAACTACATTAGTCTTAAAATTGTTATTATTATTACTTAAAAGCATTTTCATCTGGTTTTGGTATAATAAAATTAAGTAATTTTACTAACTGGCCAATTTTTAAACTAAACTACTATTACTTTACAATTCTCTACTACTGAATATATTTATAGATATTGGACAATATCTGCCATATTCATAAGTTATTGAGTGGTGCCTACTCTAAAAAGAGAAATCCACACTAAGAGTCTCCCTCAGTGACCAATTAAAGTTTTTGGATAGCACAAAATGCCACAAGTAAGTAAAGTAAACAATTTTATCTATCTGGGTCTTAGTTATCTCTACAGATACTTGTGTATGTCGTGAGAAAATTTATATAAATGTCTGGCCTAAAATTCACTTTCTATTATAATCATTTGATAAAAAATCTGTGATTTAATTATTATTATTACAATCAACATTAGTATTTATTTGTATTATAAAGGAATTTGAACCAAACTATAGTAAGCAAAACTAGGGCATACTATTGCCCTAGTTTTGCTCTTGGCAACAACAATAACAAGATAATGTAAACAATTCATTTGGTTAATATCTTTCAACAATGTTATAATGCTATTATTCCATAAAGAAATTTATGGGTACAAACTAACTCACAAAATGGACAATTACCCACTTATAAACTAACCAGAAATTCAGAAAACCTTGCCATATCATGAAGAAACAACTAATTTATTGTATACATTAGAAAGTGATAAAACCGATATTTATATTCTCGGTTAGGCTATAGTTACCACAAAAAACTTTAACTTAAGTGAAATTTGGAGACACTATGGAAAGTTACAGTACATGTTATAAACTGGGTCACAGCCCAGTGTAAATTGTACCCACAAATGTTAGAGGTGCTAAACAAAACCTTCAATTATAACATTTTACATAATAGGTGTAATTATTTACTTGTACTTTTTAACACCTAAAGTGACATCCTTTAAAACATTTATTGCCACCAATTTCTGTACACATGTTTAGTACATAAAATCACAATATAACTATGTTAAATAAGATGTACATCTATTATTGCTAATCCCTAGGCACACTAGGCTAGTAATTTAGTTGAGTAACAGGTAATTCAGTGACTAAAAAGAGTCTGAACAAGAAAATAATATTCAAGTGCAAAATAATATTCAAATCAAATAGAAAAGATTATTTTGACGTCAAAATTGCTTGACACTCAACGAAATGAGCTTAGTGTGAACTAGGCCTAAGGGACAATAATATTGGGAGTGTTATTAATGTATCTGAATAAGTATGTGAAACAATAAAAAGTATTAGGCAATATATTTTCTTAACAGTAGATGTGTGTACTTAGGTTCACATATGCTGCAAACATTGCACAAGCTTTAAACATAATGACATCAGTTTGTGTCATGCAATAAATGAATAAATCCAGATTCGAATAAAACTCTCAATATTATGATTTTTAGGTAAAATACCTTGATGTTTGAATTTAATGTGGCAATATTCAATTTTTTATTACTCATTTTATAATAGATATATTTAACATTTTGACTAGATTAAAATAATAAAATGGTTAAGACAATAAGCTTTTCTATAGGTAAATTTTTGATTGTGACAATGCCCACATACATCTGTGTCTATTAGAGGTAAGCAGAAATAAAAGTTTCTCCTTTGTTCTGGAAACTCTGAGCATTTCCAGATTCATACATCTATATAAGTGCTTATGAGTTCCGGATGCTCTTAACATCACCTTTATTTAACAAATGAAAGTTACACTTTTTTTTACTATAATTAATGATTACTCACCTTTAATGTTTTGTCATCACTTGCACTGACAATCAACCTGCTGTCCGATGACCATGCCACATCACTGATTCCCATTTTATGTCCTGCAATCGTCTTCTCAAACTTGCCATCATATGCACCCCACACCTTGATAAGTTTGTCAGCAGCTGAAATGTGATAAATCACAATTTTATAAACATACCAAAGTAATTACAACCAATCTACAATAACACTTATATATTTTCACAAAAGTTTTGTACTTTACATCTATGTATATGATAAAGAGGAAAGATTTGTTGTTTCATATTCTTGAATTTATTGAAATAACTCAAAAACTACTGGGCATATTTCAAAGTCTTTCACCATTAGAAAGGTAATTAATCTGTAAGTAACATAGAGACAAAGTCGCAAGCAACAACTAGTATTTATTAAGATTAAAAATCACAAAGAAAAAGCTTAGTATATATTAAAACATTTTTAAAAGGCAATTTACAAAATGGTACCCATGATTTCTTTAACTTTTAGTAAATAATAAAATAATGCAGAGAACTTATGTTAATAATAATATACAAATTTGTGCATATAAAATAAAATAGGAAGTTGTTTGAAAATTTTACCTTGATCTAATTATAAAGTCTCAATTAATACTATCAAAGAATATAAAGTTTGAATAATTCTTTGAACATTGTTTAGGTAAATATTATTCTACAAACAAGATTAGAGATTTATGTCATCAAAATTCAAACTTATTTTAATGTAAATAAAAAACATTATTTCATAAACATTTACCTTATATTATTAAAATTAATATTGATATACTTTATTGAAAATCTAATATAAACATAAAAAGAGTAATATAATGGAGAAAAAAGGTGTATATTAAGTATTGTTTCTATGAAGGTCATTCATTGCCTATGTGCAAAAGGAATTGTACTTATTGGGGGCAAATACAATGTACATAATATCTCATAACTTCAAAGATAATGTGATATTGATATGCCTTGCTTTAAATCACTTTTGGTATAAATAATATTGAGTACAAATATGTAATGTTTTACTTTTAGATCTAATGTTACGAAGAAACTGGTGATAGAAATACTCACAGGAACTTGCAAGCCATTCTCCATTTGGACTAAATTTTACCGACGACACCGCTTTCGTGTGACCCGCAAGTGTAAACTTTAGTGTGTAATTCGGCTTCTGAAATGAGTATTAAAATTAGCGCCAAATCGCACGTGCTCGGAACTAAAAGTTACATAAACATGTGCAACCGCCAGATTGAACTAAATCTAACATTTAAACACTAAAAACTCTTGTTACTTACCGCTACTGATGACTTGTTAGATTGCGGAGTACTTTGTGATAACGAATTCGAGCCGGATAAGTTACTACTGGCCCCACTGTGAGTTTGGTGTGTCGTAGGATGGCCAGGCCCGGGTCCTAGCGGCACCATGTTTCAACTTTCGACGCACTTGTTCTTGTTATGTTCGTCACCCAAAACAATCACTAATAAGCACTGAACAGCGACGCAAATCGGTCTTTAGAATATAAAAATCCCAAAACTTATCACACACTGGCGGCGGTTCATATAAATCAACGTAGATTTTCGAAGAACATTCCAAATGCGAGCGTCCCAATGCGTGCATTTCGCGACGAACGAACAATGATGCCAACCTAACAGAATAGAAGTGGACGGTCGTCCTCCCGCCTCTCTCACCCGCACCGCCAAGGTCCCAAGTGTATTACGTCATTTAAATATTTAAAACAAAATGTCATATTCAATTAAAAATGTTAAAGAAGCGCTTAAGTATTAGATAAATTCTAACTTTAAATAGGTAGCATAATTACTAAAAGTAATTTGGATTTGCTTAGAACATGGAACACTTTTGTTTCTTCAATGATTTTAATTTTGTCATGGCGGCGTAGGTGGAAATAAAAAGAAAACATGTTTTCGCTTTACTTAGATTTATTTTGGATTAATTTAGGTACGTAATTTTCTCTGTAAGTAATTCTATATTTCTGGTTTTATTTTTAAGATGATAATTATAGCAACTCGATTCCGCAAGCTCATTTTTTGATATGGCAGCCAATTTTGACCTCTTTGACATATCCAAGGTTGAATTTGACAATTATCTACTTAGCGTAGAAGTTTGCGAATTGTTTAAAATTGATTTTTTGCCTTAAGAAATAACGCAATGGCTTTAAACAAACTCAGTATCGATGCCTTAAATTTGGCCGGAAAACGTGTCTTAATGCGGTAAGTAGGGTATTAGTTTATTAATTGATTATTTCCCTGTTTTACCTGCCGGGTCACTAAAGGACACCGGTATTATAGTACTACCCTATTTTTTTTTTCTTTTTAGAGTTGACTTTAATGTGCCACTGAAAGATGGAGTAATTACTAACAACCAGCGAATTGTGGCTGCCCTTGATTCAGTTAAATTTGCCCTGGATAAGGGCGCAAAGTCGGTGGTACTTATGTCACATTTGGGTCGCCCGGATGGACAAGCCAATTTAAAATATACTTTAAAACCCGTTGCAGAAGAATTGAAGAAACTATTAAACAAGTAAGTGTATAAAAATATTTGTAATAATTAATTAAAACCATCTAGATCAAAATATTCTTATTTAATATAATTTTATTTTTATAGGGATGTCACTTTCCTATCAGACTGTGTTGGTTCTGAAGTTGAATCAGCCTGTGCCGATCCTCCGGCAGGTTCTATTATTTTATTAGAAAACCTCAGATTCCATATTGAGGAGGAAGGCAAAGGTGTTGACGCCAGTGGAGCCAAGGTGAAGGCTGATGCTGAAAAAGTGAAAGCTTTCAGAGCAAGCCTTAGAAAATTGGGAGATGTATACATAAATGATGCTTTTGGTAAGAAATAGGAAAAGGTGCCCTTAAATTATTATCATTTACTGTTGATTGTTATCTATACTGATTTTATCTTGCCCTTTATTAGGTACTGCCCATAGAGCTCATAGCTCCATGATGGGTGAAGGTTTTGAGCAGAGAGCCAGTGGCTTTTTACTGAAAAAGGAACTTCAATACTTTGCCAAGGCTCTTCATGAGCCTGAAAGGTGAAAATATCTTATTAATTTACAAATTAATTTTTAAAAATTATGTTACTATCTAGAACAGTTTAAAAATATTTTTATGTCAGTAATTATTAATTATTAAAATTTATTTTTGAAATTACTATTGTAATCTTCTTACAGACCATTTTTGGCAATTCTTGGTGGAGCTAAAGTTGCAGACAAAATCTTACTCATAGAAAATTTGCTTGACAAAGTCAATGAAATGATAATTGGTGGAGGTATGGCTTACACATTCCTTAAAGAAACAAAGGGTATGGCTGTAAGTATTCTTTTTAATTTTTTATGTCATTTTTAATTTAAGCAAAACAGTTTGATTAACAATTTGTATTTTTTAGATTGGCAATTCCTTGTATGATGGAGAAGGAGCAAAGATTGTAGGAAAGTTGTTGGAGAAAGCTGCAAAGAATAATGTAAAAGTACACCTACCAGTAGACTTTGTCACTGCTGACAAATTTGATGAAAATGCTCAGGTAAATAATCTATGCTGAGGATGTCCATTTATGGACATAATAATTAAAGTGTGGCATTAAGATATTATGCTGAGTTAAAACATTAAATATTAACTAGCTGTTGCTCATGACTTCATCTATGGCAAATTGAAAAAAATGGAGAAAACATAACCTATGATGCTTACAGATAAATTATCTTTAGAATGCGATTTTTTTAAATCAGCCAAGTAGTTTTTACGTGAATCAAATACATTGAAAAATCTAAATCTTTCGTTCTTTATAGTTTTAGTATAGATCAGGTTGGTATTAAAAGTATTTATATTATTGATTAGGTTGGTAGTGCTGATGTGGATTCTGGCATCCCCGATGGATGGATGGGACTTGATGTCGGACCAAAGTCAAGGCAGCTGTTTGCGGAACCCATCGCAAGAGCCAAAGTTATTGTTTGGAATGGGTTAGTACCTTGACTTTACATAATATATTTTGTATTCCAATAATAGCATTATTTATTAAGCTTGCTTTGAATTAAGTTCAATTAATTTGCTGATACATTTTATTTTATATTTTCTTTGTGATAAAAAGACAATTTTTATTGTTTTGTATGTGCTTTTCTTTTTAGGCCAGCAGGTGTATTCGAATTTGAGAAGTTTGCGGGTGGCACCCGCGCTCTCATGGATGGTGTTGTGAAGGCAACCAGCAGTGGTGCTGTTACTATTATCGGTAAGATGTCATAAATCCAATTAACTTCTTTATACACTTGTTTTATATAAAGTCTTGCGATAGTATATTTTAAAATAAAATAAATCGGATTTTTGTTTACAAATTCAAATGATTCTAATGATATTTTGATTCGATTCTTTGCTACTTTCTAAACCAATATGCAAAACAAATATAATATCAGTTTCTTAATAAAAATATAACATTATATTAAATAATCAGTATAATAAGGATTGTTGAGATATGACGGCTGATAGAAATATATAGAAGAGCAGCTCATACTGCCCACCCTCCATGAAACAAGGGGAGGTTGATGAATCAGTTTAATAAAGTTGTCCATGTATACCAGGCGGTGGCGACACAGCCACCTGCTGCGCCAAGTGGGGCACCGAGGATAAGGTCTCCCATGTGTCCACCGGCGGAGGCGCCTCTCTAGAACTGCTCGAAGGTATGCACTAAAAATTAAATTTTTCAGCTCCTTTTGGACATAAAATGACGTAAATACGCGGTTCACACTTGGCCAGTTCAATAGCGTAAATACTGGACTGTCAATAACTGGCTGTCTGTGCCCTGTCACATGAGTCGATATATTATTTGACTGGCCAAGTGTAAACCGCGTGTAACTGCCGTACTCAAAGTTGGCCACTGATCATTTACCAACCCTTAGTGCTAAAATAGGTGATACCATTCGTAATAGCTTTTCATATACCTTTCTTGGGTATCGTTTGTTTTTTTAATTCCAATCTTTATTTAAAATCGATATTAAAAACTAGCTGTTGCACGCGACTTCGTCCACCGCCGACTGAAATTAAAAAGTAAAAATAGTCTATGTTACTCAGTGATACGTAGCTTAGAATGGTGCAATAATTTTTCAAATCTGTACAGTAGTTTTTGAATTATTTCAATACATACAAAAATACAAATCTTTCCTCTTTATATTAGCACTAGCTGTTGCTCGCGACTCAGCCGGCGTAAAATTATGTAAATAATAAAAAATTTACCCTATGTTACTCACAGATAAATTACCTTTCTAGCGGTGAAAGAATTTTTAAAATCGGTCAAGTAGTTTTTACGTGAATCGAATACATACAAAAATACAAATCTTTCCTCTTCATAATATTAGATTAGATGGATAGTATATATTAAAAATGTACAATAAAGTTGCACTGCATTACCTTTAGCAATTTAAAATATTTAAAATATATTAAAATGTAAAAGAAAACATTCAGCGTTTCATCGCGTGCTCGGCAAAATAGATCAATCATCTGCCAACATTATTAAGTCGCTCGCAGCTGTCTACTGCTATCGAAAACTAATTAAATTCATACATAAAATGATTTATATTCCTATATAGAAAATACTTACATTAGCCTCATCCGTACATTTACGCAATACGTATGTACCCATGTCATATACTGTTTTTAATCGACTTCCCAAAACAAGGAGGCTCTCAATTCGTTTGTATTTTTCGTGTAACCTACTCGTAATACTGGGCATAGGTTACATTACATCTTCCTCCCCTACTATATTCCTTTAAACACAACATTTGCTTTGTACTTGAACATCTTTAAGTACTTACCTTACCTTTGTCTTATAACGCAACTAATCACGCCATTCAGAACCATTTCAGTTAAAAGTTTTAACTGTCAAAACCGAGCGTCTGCAGCAAACCTAAAAACATACGTCGCTTAAAGATTCGTTCACACAGACGGCTAGGAGAGCATCGGCGCGTATTTTTCTTTTCACACAGACCGCATCGTATACGCTTGGCATTGACTGACAACGGTGCGTAAACGAGAAAAAGGACGCGATTGGAGCCGGTCAGATCCTCTTATTATTTCACGCAAAGCGCGTTCAAGCTTTCGTAATGATGCAGTGCACATGCAAAAGTAAAACTTACAACTTACTTGCGAATAATAACTTGATAAGAATCTCCTCTCTTCTCCGAGCCGGTCTGTGTGAACGGACCCTAAGGCGTAATCGCACGTTTACAATACGAGTCACAGGACCTTGTAATTTATTTATACAAAATGATCTATTTTCCAGGTAAAGTTCTGCCTGGTGTAGCGGCACTCTCCGATGCATAGATTTTGTGATCAGCGCTACTAAAATTAGTTGCTTTAATAAATAGAAAATATGTTACGAAATTATTAATATAATTATGTTTCTGTTTAGATTTATTTCATTATACGTGTGTTACGTAGAATTATTTGTAAGAATAAATGTTAAATAAAAATAATAATATGGTTTTATTTGTTATCATTTGACTTTGGAGGAAAACCGCATAACCCCCCTATTAGGTATACTTCCTATTTTCATCTATCATTAAGTTGAGAATGAGAACCTTCTACAAGTCGGTATAGGTTACGCAGAAGCACAAGTATGGCCTTTGTAAGAGGTAACATTGTAAAACTTCAAACTTGTAATATTATATAGATGGAATCGAATCCTGCACTCTCAAAGTAAGCGAATTAAGGTTTGAAGTCGACTACTTTTGAACTACGATCACTTTAAAATAGTGATATAGCTAAAGATATCGGTTATTGCACAAGTTTTAAGTGTGTAATAAAAGTCCTTACGATAAGGTGTTTGCTTTGAAAACTAAAGTTTTAAATTGATAAATTACTAAGAGTGTTACAAAAAAAAGTTCATATAAACGAGAACGCGCAGTTTGCAATCCCACTTGTTTTAGTTCAGTAATTTCCAACTGCACCTATCGACAGTACATATATACGTTAGAATATGTATAAAAAGAAATACCCTGTATCGATTTACGCCGCGCGCAAGCGTCCTTTGACCATCACGTCGATACCAATTACGATTTACCAAGGAAGAAAACAAAATACCTCTTCCTCAAATTACTGTAATCATTTCATTCATAAGTAATTAATATTGACAATATTGTTTGCTGAATCAATTGATTTATTTTGAATTAGAAATCGAATATGTCAATGTTTCCTTCAATTGTGATTGCCTTACCTTGCGTGAACTCTGGTCCAATTGGCGAGGGTCCGCGCATGCTCAGATATCTTCCTAGGTATTTTATCACAATAATAATTTCACAGGGCCAAAGTGTCAGTGTCGGTGAGGATAGCGATCGCCGCCGGCGTACCGGCGTGCGAACTAAAATGTATCCACCTTGGAAATCTCCATAATCGCTCCAAATCATATTAAATACACTTTTAAATTTAAGGTTATCTAAGAAGTTACTAGTTTCATGTCAATTGTTGTTTAGTGAGTATGTTTATTGTGGTTCCAGTTGTTTTAAGGAAATTCTCTTAGCAGGTGAGTTGTAATAAAGCAATGATTGTTTTGCTTTGTTAGTGATACAAATCATGTTTACAATGTAGATTTTTTTATATACACCGATACTTTTAAAGCATTATCAATCAGTAAAATTAATTCCGTGTTAGTTGAATTTCTTTATTATAAGATAGGAATCATATTTCTAAAATTCTGATTTCCTCGCACGAAATTGTCATCGTAATATATTGTCACCACATATTGCGCTGTATGAGTTTAGTATTACACGAACTTGTAAGTAACAGGCCTTTAAAAATAGTCCTTCTATTTTTTTTGTTTTATAAAAAGTAAAAAAGTATCGATTAATTCTGTCATAATTACTCCCCTATAGCGCACTTAAAGTACCGTTTCCCCTTTCTTTTATTCCCCTTATTGTCAACACTTCAAAGTTGAAAACAACGATTTCCATCCACCCTTACCATTATTTGGTTTTCTTTTTATACAGTCCGTAAATTATCGCTTTACTGAAAAATGTAATGCTTATTTTTTCTTTACTTTTTTATATCTCATATTAGTCCCAATCTAATTATATTATTTCTAATCTGTTTAACTAATATTTATATTTATCGTATATTTTCCACGTCACATTCGCTATATATAATAGACTAAACTCGAAGAGAAAAAAAGTTTATCTATAAACCCATAATCGTGCTTTATTTCACCGCTTTTATCTATCTTCTTTTGATCCTTCGATATTCTGCTCGAAGTCAGACGGTTGGTTAACAGTTGGTTAACGTACACCAGTATAATCTCTCATTTGTGAAATCTCTAAAATAATCGTATAGACTATAGGAAATCATATTTTAAATATTCTGTAAATATAAATTGAAAATGCTGCCGAGATACACCAATTAATATCACCAATTAATTAACATCGTTTTTCCCGTTTTTCCTCTTATCTATACATATAAGGCTGGAGTGTCTTTTTGTAATATTTAAAAGAAAAACTCGAGATTTCGGAAAGATAATGTATTTGCGGTGCTGATAACGAAAATCGCATTTCAAAATTTTTTGTCTGTCTGTTTGTTCCGGGTAATCTCCGAAACGGTTGAACCAATTTCGACCGGACTTTTACTGCTGACATAAATATATTGAGTATATTATAGGGTACTTTTTTATCTTAATATTGCGTGAAAGAAGTCGCGGGCAACAACTAGTTATAACAATATTTTTCATCCGTTAATCCGCGTAGGAACAGCTTAGATTAGATAAATCATTGACCCGAGCGTTATTACGCGACCCGTGATGAATTGTACGAATGTATACGCCGGAGTTTAATGAAATGGAATAAAGCTGACAGGGTTTCTTCCTACGCAAATAGAAATGTAGGAATAAGCCCGCCGGCATTTTATACGCGTATTGATTAATTTGGATTAATGGCAGTAGACTTTAAGGGACTCTGATCTACAAAATCTCGTTACTTGTCATTCTAGTCATTGCTTAGTGGTAAAAATCTAACAAAAAAATGGGACCCACCTGCAAGCACTATGATATGCCGTACTCACAGAGATATGCCGTAACTCACAAAAAAAAACATTCAGACGAATTGAGTACCTCCTTCTATTGGGAAGTCGGTCAAAAGTAATAGTTATTTAATAAGATTACCTCATATTCCTAAGACATTCAACGTTCACTTATTCCCCGATTAGCTCCTAAATCAACACGGGAGACTTAAACAGTTGAAGATTTAACTTTAGTAGTTGCAGTCTGGTAACCATGGTGATTCATTATGCAGCTACATAAACCTTGGAATTATTTCACACGCTACATTTTCGTTAAAATCAACTGATTTTTTACCACATTTCAAATCGTCGAACTGACTTTAAAACATAGTTCTATGTCACTAATTTTCAGGGAATGACAATCGATTTTCGAAAGTTGGAACGGACATATAATTCTGCGATAAAACTTGGCTTACATTTTCATTAAAATAATCTAGTCTCCTGTTATATAACTTTAACATGCAAACTGTAAATAAAAGCGCGAGAATATTAAAAAGTAGAACTAGAATAAAAAATAGTCAACACTTTTTATTTTTAATTCCTGATCCATTCTTTTCCGTCATAGCGCGAACAAAGAACCTTCTTCCCTGAACAAAGGGGAAAGATTAACGGAATATTTGCAAATGACATCTTTATTGCAGCTCTTAATTCAACAGGCGTTGAAAGCTTTGGAATCACTTCTACAAATGCATTCTATATGTTACTGCGAACACATTTCAAAAACATTGTTAAAAACAAATCTATTATATTCACATTTGCGCGTTTATATTCCAAAACGTAACTACTTGTATCTATATTTGCCCTTTAACAACGATAAAGCAGCTGCGATACTTAATTACGTTAGACATTTATAAAGGTTAAAAATAAACATTCTTAGCAGGTGATATTTCATTTATATTTTTAGATTTATCAGATGCATGTTCTTAAGTACCAATTTTAATAAATAATGTAGTTAACTAAATTACGGTAAACGAACTTGACTTGGTACCGACTGGAACTCTAAATGTGATTTGCTCAAAGAATTAAAAAAAAATGTTTTACTTCAGATAAATAAATGTACAATGCCGGACTGGACATGGCTGCTGATGGCCGCGCTGTTCGGTGCGCTGTCGGCGCTGGCCGTGCCAGTCGCCCTCTTCATCTACTTCGTCAGGCCTTTCGAAAAGAAACCCACCATAGACGAGCAATACTCTATGCCAGTCACATTGCCTCCAGTAAGTATTCAACTAGAATGAGAAGGAACTTTTCCCGGAATATCCCCAGTAGTTACTGCTAGTTTTAGCTGTTTTAGCGCCATGGACTTCGACGTTACAATCATGCTGTTAATATAAATTAATTAATTAAAATTATTGTTACGTGAGAGAGATTCATAGTCCTATAGCGGGTCTTTCTGTTTCTTGTAGCTTCTGGTATTAAATGTAGTCCGTACAGTATTTAAAAGAATAAAATGTCGTAATTCCATCTGTGATCTTCCTCCAAACTTTTAAGATTCGCACTTTAACTATTCCTCGTTATAAAACTGTCATAATGTTTATATATAAGGTAATAATTTAATAATATGCCCACATTTGGTATGTTTAAATCGTAAAAATACATTTTGACATTGTCACAGGTATTTCTTAATATTCATCTTTACTAAGAAGGCTTCTTCTCGTTGAGTGATGAAAAATAAAACTTAGTCAGGGAAAGTCTGTTAAATATTTCCTGTCCAAGAATAGAAGGGCTTTCTTACGATTGTTGTTCGGTTTTTATTTCTCGCCTAACAACTTTATGGGTCGTGAAAGGATCGTAAAAGGCAGTATGTTATTGATGTAGAGACGTGTTCTACGATCAACGAGTCTAGAGAGAATGTAGACATTGCTGAGCAATTACTTTGATTGCCTTAGACGATTTGTAAGCTACAAGAAAAATGTCATTACATTTTGTTTAAAAAACAATTAGAAAATTCTACTGTGTTTACCTTCCATTTCTCATAAATGCAAAACAAATTTAAAAACTTAAACTGGCCTGGCATGAGAGTACTTTTTTCTGAAGTACTTCACTTAAATTTTTTTATTCCTTTTTTAATTGGCCAATGTTGTCGACTTGAATTCACGACACCGTTTATTTCTTGGCAGTGCGCCAATGAAAAGTAAAGGCGAAGCCTCCGCAAACATTTTATTTATGGCCATCGCGCCCACCATTAAAGTGTACGAGCGACCCTAAATAACGGCTTTTAATTATTCTGTTCGTGAATTCGTTAGTGGTCGTAAACAGATATGGGTAATCAAGGTTTGACATCAAATGACCCTTTTACGATTTGAACCGCGAAAATTTAATGAACCCATCATTGAAATGAGATTGTTAGCAAAAATGTTACTTCGACTATGCCTTGTTATTTTGTACTTGGTTTTAATGTAATCAATATTTTGTTTAAAATGTATCGTGAATGACAACACTTCCCCTCAATTCCTGAGAGCGTTTTTTCGCCTCACTTTTTCGCTCCGGATTAAGAATCTATAAGTTTTATTTTCTATGGCCTAAAATGTTCAATTATAACAAATACGATAAGACTTCTTAGTGCATTTGGTAAATCAAATATCTCTGTGATTACTGTTTACACCACTAGAGTGACGCAAACGTAACGATATGATGATATACGGTTTTAAGGAATTTTTGCTCTAAATAACATCGCTTTTGACGTAACGTCTAATTAGTCTCGCACTAAATTAACGGCAAGCGTGGAAAAAAGGTGTAACATTTCCAGTGTAATTTAACACAAGGTAAACTAAATATTTACGAAATGTATATATTATTTGCAAATACTTTATCATCAACACATTGTCGACAAGGCCAATTAGTAATTTAACAATATTAATAATACCTACAATTTAATAATATGCAAACAGTGTCATCATTAATTGTCATTAATTCATTAATCAGAACAATAATTATTTAATAATTTCAAATATAAACCTAAAGCAGTAGTCGAATGGCATTAGAGCTTAAAAATCAATTGAACATTTTCTGAATTGTCAGCGTAACTTGGAAAATAATACTAGATTACGATAAAAGAAAAGATAGGTGGTGTTGCAAACCCTGCAATGTGAATTACTTACGTAATCTACGCTTGGAGGATTAAAGCTGCAAAGCTAAAAGCAAATTGTTACCCTTCAGATAGAAAAAGAATTAATTATAATTTTCTCTGTCTAAAAAACAAGATATTTGCATTGACTGCAGTATTCTACAGATATAGACACTACAATACATAGACATCACTCTAAATGAACAGGAGATCCTCAACGAGCTGACCCGCGGAGCAGGCAGCACCCCCGAGGGCGTGCTAAATGCAATGCTGCAGTTCATCTTCCAGCAGAGTACCGCAGATACTCGCTGGCTTCGCCGCCGCATGGCCAGTGAGTTAGCCGAGCTACTCGCCAAGACCTCATCCGGCAAAATCTTTGAATCGCTCACGGTAAGCTATACTCGTACAATACTATGAAAAAAACAATACCTACACTACACGCTGAACTAACTTTATATCCTGTGTGTACCTGTATGTCCCTTACGAATAAAGTTTGTCCTATTCCAGCTACGGTCGTTAGAAGTGGGTACAGAGTTCCCGAGTATAGCTAATATGCAGCTGCTTAGCGGCGAGCTGGAGGAGGACGGCGCGCGGCTGCGCTCCCTCGACATCCGCTTTGACCTCGCCTACGATGGCAACTTCAGGATCGACGTGGACGCCGTCATGTTGCTCGGCAAGATCGCTAATATATCTATCACAGGTTATTATAATCTTACTTCTTACTAATTTTATAAATGCGAAAGTTTCGATGGATGGATGTTAGTCAGAGTTTGTATCTTACACTGCTGAACGGATCTCGGTGAAATTTGGCATCGACGTAAAGGATAGTTTGAAGGAACACATAGGCTACTTACCTTTTTAAATTCCACGCGGACGGAGTCGCGTGCGAAAGCTAGTTTCTATATAAATAAAAATACATCCGAAATGACAAAAATCCACATAGGTTACTTTTAGATCTGTCTAAAAATTATGCTAGAAAATTAAAATGAATATATATGTACTTTCCAGTGGAAAGCATAAGTGGTAGCGTACGCCTGATGTTCCGACGCAACCCGTACACGCACTGGGCGCTGGCGTTCGAGACGCAGCCCAAGCTGGAGCTGCGCGTGCGCGGCCGCTTCCAGGGCCGCCAGCTCAAGCCACGGCTGGCCTCCCTGGTCGCCGCGCACATCAGACGAGCAGTCGCTCAACGACATACGCTGCCTAATTATAAAATAAGGTTACTTATTAAAATTTAAAACAGTTAAAGGGGGCTCCTAAGATTAATTCCACGTTATTCCTGGAAAAAATATTTTTCTATTTTATTTATGCCTTTTATTGCGTCTTTTTTGTTGCTTATTCTTTGACAAAAATAAAACATGTGATTTCTAAAATTTGCTACATTTTCATTGGCAGATACAAACCGTTCTTCCCGAAGTCGGAGCCGGGCAGTGGGGACGGGGAGGAGGGTCCGACGCCGCAGGGCCGGCTGACGGTGCGCCTGGTGGAGGTGACGCGGCTACAGTGGCCGGGCGGCACCGGGCTCGTCAGGGCCGCGCTCGCTGTCGACTCACACGGATGGGTAATATTATTTTTGAACTTAGGGCTTTCTGATTAAAAAGTACGTATTAGGATTTTATAAAATAATTTTTTTTTTTTAGGTGTCATTACGGCGAGGTGTGTTGGTACTAGACATAGTGGTGCCGGCGGTGACGGGCCCGCTGGGGCTGGTGTGCTGCCAGGGTGTGGGCGCAGTGCTAGTGGACACGGTGGTGCCGATGTCCCCCGCCTACCGCGCGGACTTGCGCCGCGATGATGTCGTGTTAGCCATTGACAACAAGCCCATCAATAATGTCGCACAGGTTAACTCGTTGAGTAAACTTAGATGTTGGTTGCTAAGAGCTATAATCAATTACACCAGGAATATTATGTAGCAGTGTTCTTTTAGGTGGGTAAACTTCTTCGCAGCGTGGAGCGGCGCGCAGTGACGGTGCGCGTGCGGCGGGGAGGCGCGGGGAGCGCGGGGGGCGCGGCGGGCGCGGGGGCGCCGGGCGCCCGGCGGGAGGACGAGCCGCGCAGGCTCCGCACAAACTTCTCCTTCCGACGGGTCTCCGAGGTCATGGAGGGCGTTCGACTACAGAGTATGCGCGCTGCTACCTCCAGAAATAACTTGCTAGAAACTGATTCACCAGCCAAAGTATCAGATGCATCAAATGACATAGATCAAAAACAAAAGTCAGAATCAGCGAAGCAGACTACAAAGTGTACGGAGCAGGCCGGACCTGGGAACTTCGGTCTGAGGAAACGAAGATGCTCCGTCGAGAATAAATCATCAGATAGCTCCGCAGGCAGCACGCCGCCCGCCTCCGGAGCAAGCACACCTCTTAGACAAGCGACAGTAATTAATAAAATCGTCAAGCATCCTGACATACCGATCATAAAAACTGACTCCTCCGAATGCAAACCTGATAAAACGGAAATTCTAGACGAAGAGGAACAAATATTCGAAACCGGCGGACCACGGCAGAGCGAGCATGTCGAAATCTGCCAAATGTTTTGGACGAAAAGTATCCAGCTCAAACCGATTATACCTTTCGATGAAGAGACTGATTTTAAACTCAATGAAAATCATAAATATCTTAACATTAATGTGTGGGCGACTGTACCTGGCGAAAAGGACGAGCTGTTGTTGGGCTATTTGAATATACCACTAGCGGCTTTACTTTCCGAATGCCAAGATTCGACGGTACCCCATCATATGAAGAGATATCAGTTCCTACCGCCCGATGTCGATATTAAATTCAGGTGATTAACGGTAGTTAAGAGGAAAATATTTTTTAACGATATATTAATTAGTAACCAGTAACCTTTGATAGTCGTCCAATCACAGATGAGTCTTTAATTTTGGAACGATGTAGGATATACTTTTACTTGAATCTCCTTGATTGCAAGGTCATTGCACTTCGGCTCATTCTTGCAAAACCGTGATATCTCGACTGATTTTACAACTGGTAGAAAATATGAAGACTCAAAAAGTTTTTGAACTTCTTTTGTACCCAGCAAGAGCCACAAGCTGTCCTCGCACGCGGGCTTCGAGCCGTGCCTGTGCTTCGGCGACGCGCTGGTGTGGTGGGAGCGCAGCTCCCCGCGCCCCGCGCCCCGCGGCGCCGCCCCGCGCCCACAGCAAGCGCCCGCGCGCGCACAACACGACTTTGTACGCACGCACTTCCATAGATCGACACAATGCGACTTTTGTAATAAGAAGGTGAGATTTTTAAAATCTAAAACAGGCATTTACTATTAAAGGTTTTCATTCTTTCGAGAGGGTGTGTATTTTCTTTTATGCGAGTCTTAGTCTAATTTTTTTCGCAGATTTGGCTGAAAGATGCAATGCAATGTAGAAATTGTGGTCTGTGCTGCCATAAGAAATGCGTCACCAAGTGTCAAGAGTCTTCGCCTTGTATACCAAAACAAGAGCGCGGTAAGAGTCAAACCGATATCATAATGTTTCTTTATTCCTAACTTATAACCACAATCATTTAATATAGCAGCAGGTCAAATAATTTTAAAAACAAAGACATTTTGAAGATCTCTTCAACTGAAGGTTTACTAAAATTGCGAATGACGTGTTGTCGTCAAAAATAAGTCAATGTGTTTTAAAATCTGACATAAAAGTAATTACATCTGACATGAAAAAAGAGCAGCGTTAATCTTCTTAAGCTCTTTTGTATACGACTTTTATGTTCAATGTCGTTAAAAAATAAACGTTCACTTTGTAGATATAAATTAAAAACGATAATTATTTCCTATTTCGAGTTTCCCTAAAGAGTTTTACAACTCCTTCGAGATAAAAAAAAACACTTTCTAAAGGGTAGAAGTTACTTTGTTTTCACTTTGAGTTTTTGCCGCATAAAGTAACAAAATTGTAGTTAAAAACATTTGACCAACAGTGTGTCTTTAAACATAGTCTTCTACTGTCGAAACTCCTCGTATTCAATATGATTAATATTGCTATCCCTTTCACTATAACTGAAAAAAGAGATAACATGTTTTTGTACATTAATTTTGAGAGTGGAAAACACAGTTATCATTTCTGAACGATCTTTTAAAAACCCATAAGTGATTCAAGTTTTCGGTATTCAACCGATTGAGTTACGAATAAAATGAATATTTTAATGTACTTTTAGCTTTAAAAACACAATATTTAGGTGTTTACCCCAAAAGGGCGAATATTTGCATCCGTTCCAATTTTAAATCAATTTTTGATCTTTCGCCAAGTTCACTTTGACTTGAGATGTGTTAACGACCATGTAGGTCATTGACATTTAACAACAATGAAAAAATACCCCAAAATATTACAAAAATCATCCAGCAATCTTTTTCCAATATCAAGAGTGTGCTATCTGAAACTTAACAATCGCACAACTGTTTAGTCGCGCTTTGAATCCCATGAGCTTGTATAGAGGTGCACACACTACTCGATTTTTTGTTGTGCAACTAAACAGTTGAATTGGCTGCGAAATAATCGACAATCGCACAACAGTTGTGCGCTCGCTCTAAAAAGCATTTTTTCATATTAATTAGTCTTTAACAATTAAAAGTCAAATAAATTACATGACTGAAAATGCTTAATGACATAAGAATGTTCCTTTAGGAGTTTTTTTTCTGCTTATTTAGCTTGTTATTTAAAATCGTCATAAAGTGCAAGCTATAAAAATATTGAACGATATTTTACTATGAATTTAAATTAGCGTTTCCATGTCATTATAACAAAAAATAACCAACTAAGTAAGGTTAGAAAGATTCAGACTGGAGCGTTGCGTGACAGTTTCTATAATGCGGATATTTTGTAATGTTCCATTTTACGTTTCCAGTGTGCCATGCCAGTGCAAGAAGACGTAACTGATGTAATAATTAAACGTTTACGTCATTCATCTTTTATAATCTGTTGCTAAGATCAGACTCCATCAACTTTAACTAATTTAATACAAGTTGTTCTTTGTATACAAGCTTGTCTTGGTGAAGAGTACGTTGCAGATGTTGCCATAGCAACCGATGTAGTTAACCGTTAACTCCAGTAAATAATAAGTACTTATAGCAACGGTAAAATTTCGCGTAGTGATTTGCTTCAAATTATTTTTTAACGGATTCTACGGAGATGGTCATAAATGTACGAAACATGTTCGGGCTTTCATTTTTGGAGATATCGTGATGACTCAGAGAAGGACAATATTCTCTAAATTAAATCAACTTTCTTAAATATTACTTATTAGATTCAATAGGTAATATTATGTTTTATACGACATGAAGAAAACGATGACTACTGCAGTTTTATTTGATCTTTGATGATTAATTATTTATTTTTTTAGAAAACAAAATTATTGTTTGTCTCTAATTATAATGATTATCGGCGCCTTAAAATATATTTTACTTTTTTGTTTAAATTGAAACAAAACAGCTGACATAAGCAAAAATGTAATGCAAGAGTTAATTTGTTTTAAGTATATGAATACGATATACGAAACGTATAAGATAAACATTTTGCTTATAGTTAATTAATTTCCTTTTAGATCCTTCATCCAGCAGCTGTTCGCCTCCTGAGCTAATCATGACTGAACCTGACTCTATGCCCGATCCCGATTCTGACGAAGAAGATAAGCCCGACAGAAAAGACTCTTTGGATGTTCATGAGGAAGGTTATAATGATTTTATCTTATTAGCGAAATGTTGAAGTAGAAGTTAATGCTAGATTAATATTGCTCGAGTCCAGAATATAGATAAAACTGGCTAGATGTTCACAGGAATTGTACAAGTACAAGGACTACATAGGCTTACAAATAATAAAAACCAATCAGTAAAATAATTAAGAAAGGTTGTGATATTAAAAGTTTATCGAGATAGAAAAAAAACAACTACTGTTTTGTTAAATAGAAAATTTATTTCTGTTACACAGACGAACTATTCGAATGCTGACGAAAGAGATGTTTTACGCATTATTTACTCCGGACTCATCAGACAAACACAGGTTTTTTTACACTTGATGTTCATATCCCCTTCTGTGGAACCACGCTGACTTGTGAACGAACCGCTTTGTTACCGTTACGTGTTTCCCTTAGTCATCAATGTGAGAATATTTTTTGTTTATATTACGTAAGATCGAACACCATGTATAGCATAAATGTATAGCGATAATAGGTCTATTTTACTGTCTTTCTTTGCTTTTACCTTTTAGATATTTTGAAAATTACAGCGTTCCGATAAAGAATCATAAGAAACTTCGTTGTATCAAGATAATTCCATTACGCGAAAAACGTATAACTGTAAAACTCTAGATTACCTTGATTTTAGACCTATGTAGCGACAAATCTCCAAAGACCGTGATATCTTATTATAGCAACAAATATTTTGCTCCACAATAGATTTGGACACTAAATCTTGGCAAGATTATTTCAACCATTTCTAGTCTAGTTTGCTATATTCCGTATGTTTTAAATTGAAAATATTTTCATTGCCGTGACACCTGTAAACAAACATAATGTTTTGTTTGTGCAGGAAGTTTTAGTTATCAAATACAAGTTATATTCGAGGTCTGTTTATCACGAAAATTTTAACCATCATAATTATAACATTTTATACTAAATCCGTTTATAATGTAACCTAAAATTCCATGCAACAACCGTACAAATTATGTCGAAAACTCGCACATCTATTTTTTAATTTCTAATTGGTACTTAACAAATACATTTGTTAATAAACATACGGTCCGGTTGGTATGCTCTTCAAGGATAATGGTTTACATTGAGAAATTAAACAATGCAACGTCTCTCGGACTTATCTAAAAATCTTCAACCTCAGCGTTCATCCACGTTTGATATTTCGTTATTTGAAACTACTGTAGATACACATGTGTAAATCTAGATTTATGAAAGTAATAAATGAAAATGTACGATTATGTACCTTAGCGGATACTGTTATGGACTATTTTACATCACAATCAAATTTTATCAGAGCATGACCAGTATTAGTCACCGATTACAGGAAAGTGGATGAATCAAACTTAAAATGTGAACGTTAACTCTGTACTAAACCAGTTCTCCATAAGGAAAAAGATGTAAGCCGTTGGCCCCCATGCAAAACTTAGTGAATGAAACTTTCCTTGTTGAATGTTTGTTTAAATATGTGTGTTTCTATGTATGAGTCAATTATTATAAGATTGTTTCTCGCTGTCTTCTCAAATAACACGAGAAAAATACTTATATTGATTTTTAACTATGATTTCCTAAAATCTCCCACACAAATGTATTGCGATTAACATTTATGTGTTTGTCTTAATTGAGTTGGATTGAAATATCTGTTTTGTGCTTTAACAAACCTAACCTTACCTAACCTAAAAATTGTCGTCGACAGCCCAGTCTCGTAGG